TGGGATACCTTTAGTACCAGCACTTGGGAGGCAGAGGATTTCTGTGAGTTCTAGGACAGCCTGGTCTACATAGTGAGTTCCAGGACAGCTGGGTCTACAGGGAGACCCTGTCTCAAAAAAGACCAAAACAGAAAAAAGAAAGCAGGCTGAGCACCAGCCAGTAGAGCAAGCCAGGAAGCAGTGCTCCTGCTTGGTCTGTGCTCCAGGTTCCTGCCCTGAGTTCTTGCCTTAGCTTCCCTTGATGATGGACTGTGCTTGTAAACCAAATAAACCTTTCCTCCCAAAGTTACTTTTGGTCATGGTGTTTATCACAGCAATTGAAAGGAAACTAGAACAGGAGGAGAAAGGAATGCTGGAACAGGTCACCATCCACAGGGCTCCCGCTTGCTGACTCCCCATGGCTTGCCTGGCTCAGGCCCTCTGTTAGTTCCTCACCCCAATTCCAAGAGTCAGTGCTCCTCGATAAGGCCCAAGCCTTAGACCCAGTGTTTTTCTACTCACCACTCCCTCTCTCTCACTTAAATATAGTGAGTTCATCCGGTTTAAACTACCACTGAGAAGCACACCTATAAATCCAGCACTTGTCAGGAGGACTAGAAGTAAAGAGACAAAATACCGAGGACCACAGCACTCTCCCAAATCCCAATTCTACGCAACAGCTTCCACTGCTGCTGCATAGATGGTTCATGGCATTTTCAAAATAACAAGCCCCAAATAAAGATCGCCAGCTGGCCCCCCTCCAGTGCAAACTGCACTGCTCCTCTCTCATTCATCCCCCCTCAGTAAATGTTGATTCCCCCAGCCCCCCATTACTTAGGCCAAAACCTCGAGTCACCCTTGATTCATGTCTCTCACACTCTAGGACAAATCCTGCTGGTGGTACCTTAAAATGTACACAGGAAATACAGACACCCAGACTGGAAAGGAAGAACTAAAGCCATCTCTATTCAATCCATTAACTATCCTTTATTATGTGTATGAGTGTACTGTCTCCATGTATGTAAGTGCACCCATGTCACGCAATGCCTCAGGAGGTCAGAAGAGGGTGCCAGATCCCCTGGAACTGATATCATGGATGGCTGTTAGCTGCCATGTGGGTGCTGGGAATCAAACACAAGTCCTCTGCAAGTGCAGCCAGGGCTCTTAATCACCGAGCCATTTCTCCAGCCCCTCTGTTAACTATCCTTAAACACCTCACTTATTGCAAGTGACGAATGGTCCTATATATAAAAAAACCCAAAGAATACAAAAATCCCATATCCTTTCATGATCAAAAACACTCAGAAAACAAAGTGCACAGAGAATCTAGCCACTGCTCCCAGCTCCGTGCTGTCCCCTAGGCCAAGCTGCCATCACTTCGATAGGGAAAGACTGACCCCAATCCAGCTCCCTAAACCTGTCCTGTTCTACTTCAATCTCCCCACAACAGCCTGAGCCAAATGATTAAGACCTAAGTCAGATCAAAGCCCTCCTCTGTTCAATCATTTCCAGCAGCTTCCCAGATCACAAAACATGAAGACCAGATGCTCTCCATGGTTACCAGGCAGTGTGACCACCTGCTCAGCTCAGCCCCTGCTCTCCCCTTTAACCACTCTCTTCCAACCCTACTGGCTTCCCTTCTGGAGTGAATCTTTATGGACTGCTTCTAGGTACTTGGCCCTGTGCTAAGTACTTTATATGGACCATGTCATTGAATTCTAATGAAAACCCTGAAGTAGGTCATCCTACGTTCCTCACACTGAAGAAGAGGTCACCAAGGCTTGGAGGGATAAGTGACTGAGCAAACCTTGGAAGCTCACATTACCCTTCACACAGTCACATTCAAAACACCAGGCCTAGAGCTGGAGAGCTGCTCAACAGGTAAGATGGCTGCTCTTGCAGAGGACCCAGATTCAGTTCCCAGCACCCATATGGAGACCCAATTGTCCATAACTCCAGTCCCAGGGGATCTAACACCCTCTTCTGGCCTTCAGTAGCACTGCATGCCCAGGTGCACTTACACATACTCATACATAAAATAAAAATAAATTTTTTTTTTAGTTAGGTGGTGCATACCTTTAATCCCAGCACTTGGGAGGCAAAGGTTGCTAGATCTCTGTGAGATGGAGGCCAGCCTAGGCAACAAGAGACCATCTCCAACAAAACCAAACCAAAAGCCTATAACAGGACAGGTTGTAAAGGATATGCAGAGACAGAAAAGCCTTCTACACAAAACAGATGCCCCAGGAAAGAGAATATACACCTTCTGTCCTCACCTGGTTTTCAAAGCTTTCACACAGATCAGCTTGTTTACTCTCTCCACAGAACCAGCCACAGATGCGATGAGCTTCTCCTCCCCCATGTAAGTTCCATGGCCCCTGTTGCAAGATGAGACCACAAACAAAGGTGACCAGTGTTATACTGGAGGTGACCTGACCATCAAGAACCTGTTGCTGGAACTTAACAGGTTCCTCCTGCCCTAAAGCCTGGAGCACTCCTCAGAGGCGCCATCTCCATCCCGTGTTCTCCAGCAGTTTACCTCCAGATCCCACTTCACCAGGATCTCGCGTCACTGCTGCCACTCCCACACTACTCCAACACACCCCCTTGCCCTGCTCCTTCTTAGCTCCCTTACTAGTTGCATTTATTACCTATTTTGTTGCATTTATTGTCTGTTACTCTCCTCACTAGATCACAAGACCCACCAGGACCCAGGTTTTCAGTTTGTACACTACTATACCCCAACCACACAATACAAACGTATGTTAAGAGCAGAAAAGAATTAATCCTAAGAGGTCAATGACCTTAAGCTAAAAGCTGAGAAGGATTCTGTATCCTTACTGTACCAAGAAAGGGAGGGAGGAGGGAGAGGGAAGAGACGGGGAGAGAGGGAGGAAGGGAGGGAAGAAGGGAGGAAGGGCGGTGAGATGAGGGAAGGAAGGTGGAAGGGAGGGAGGGAGGAGGGTGAGATGGAGGGAGGGAGGGAGGGAGAGAAAAGCCGAAGGATGGTGATGAAATGGTGGGTTTTGCTTCACTTCTTGCTCTTAATCCTCACTACCCAACCAAATAGTTACTTTTACCAGATGAGGAACCTGACCTTAGATACATCTAACCATCACAGGGCAGCTGTCTGGCCCCAGGGCTACCCTCCTAGCTACCACACGCTACCCTTGTGGCACAGTATGTTTGCTCAAATCCCCCAAAATTACGGCTTCAAAGCCTGGCCCCCGAAGTGAGCGCCGTAAGGAGGGCCAGGCTCCCAGTTCCTCCCAGTCCCCCCACCCCACACCAATGCTCCAAGGTCTGGGTTTCAGCCCGAGAACCCAGAAGTCCCGGACGCCAGAGTCAGAAGCACGAGGTCTGGAACCGGGGGACTCGGATGGTTGCTGGGATGAGTCCCAGGTACCCGGGTATGTTAGACCCCAGCAGAGAGGTCAGACTTTCGGGACAGGAGACCACGTGCAGAGCTCTGCCGCAGGTTCCGGCGGCCTCGAACCCCCCCAAGTCCTTACCGCATGAAGCCCGTGTCGGTGGTGATCGTGTCCCCCGGCACCACCAGGTGTTTCTTGGAGTCGCGGCCCAGGGTCTCACTGAGCGGCTTCCGAACTTTGGGAAGCCTCATCTCCATCGCCATCTTGGCGCCAATGAATCGCGCATGAGCAGCTCCGCAACTCCCGCCCACTCAGAGCAGCCGCCAACGGGAGAATGCAGGGTGTGGCAGCCATGTTGACTACTGGCAAACAGGTTCACCTGGCGGGAAGGAAGGAGCCAAGCTACCATGTTTACTATTGGCAAGGAAGCACCTGCCAAATAATGAATTTTACGACATATAGAATATCACGTTGGTTTAATTTGGTGTTTGGATGCTGTTTGTTCTTGTTTTGAGAAAGGATTTTGTTAGGTTCCTGAAACCTAACAGGTTTCATATATTCCAGGCTGGGCTCAAACTCACAGAGATCCACCTGCCTCTGCCTCCCAGGGGCTGGGATTAAAGGCGTGAGCCACCATGCCTGGCTAATAGAATATCTTGTAGGAGAAAGATGAGGACTGGGAAGTAGTCCAGAAACACAATCTGAGCAAAAGATGGAGCTCTTTGAATACCATGCCTAGTGGCTCTTGTGTACATTTACAGCTGCTCTTTAGGTGCTGCCTTGGGACCTCACCACAGCCCTATACCGCTCACTGTGCTTTTATAAGGACCTCTTCTGAGTGAGCTAGTTTCTTTCGAAAAATGGCCATCCTAAAAAACTGACCACCCTTGTTGGCAAGACTAGTGTGTTTGGCAAGGAGGGTAAGTGCATGCATGAGTAATGCAAAGATCTTTGCTTCATTAGTTTACACACCGAGCTGAGCACTCTGAGTGGGTGCACCATTCAGCAGTGGATAGAAGACAGAACAGATATCTCATGTGGCTTTGTCTGAGGCTCCTGTTTAACAGAGACATTTCCCTGGTCCCTTCTACCTGCCCTGCACTACCCCCTCCTTCCCCTGGCCCTGCAAAGTTTATAGCCCATTGCATTTTAACCTTAGGGAATTGTAGAGCATAGGCCTCCATGCACAGGGTCTCTTAAAGAGAACTAAATGAAACCAGCAAACAGCCCCCACCCACTGTGATCAGTAAGTCAGGTGAATCCAATCCTCTCCCTCCTGAAGATCCATCAGGCCAATTGTTTATAAATCGCTAAAGGGACAGCATTTATTCACCTAAGCAACACTCACAACAACACTTTTCAAGAAAGCTAACCCTGCCAGGCAGTCGATGCCATAAAAATGGTGCCCTGTAGGTTACTGAGTAGGTAAGTGACAGCCATAGCCTCACCATCCACCCTGCCTGGAGGAAGCTAGTTAGAGCCACAGAGGGCAAGAACCATCCAGCTGTTGAGTCACCTGCAGCCATAAGAGGGCGGTGGTGTCCTTTGATACAGACTAATACCAGTGGCTAAGGAACAAGACCACAGGAGGCATCCACAGACCAAAACAGGTCCATCCTGGAAGGAGGGGAATGACATTGCCTTAACCCTGCTCATCCTCACAGCACTCACAGACACGGAGCCTGTCCAAGGATGGTATTGTGGATACTTAGTTGTAGAGGAGGAAATTGAAACCCAGACAGGACTAGAATTCATACAACCAAGACAGCCAGCTCTGATGCTCATTCCAGTTACTTCCCACTTTCCCCCAGAACCCTCACCATTGACCAAACAGCTCCCAAGTGCTCACTGGCCCTGTGCTGAGTGCTCACTGGCCCTGGACTGGGTGTTTCCTAGCCCTGAGCTGGGTGCTTCACAAACTTATTACTTACTCCTCAGTCCATGAGGGTTTGCTATTTCCAGTAATTATCCCAGGCCGCCAAGCCCCCAAACAGACCTAGAACTTGGACTAGAACTCAAGACTCTAAATTCCCACCCAGCTTCGTGTTCTGCTCTGCATTTACCCTTTTAGCAGCAAGTGGTAGAGTGGATACCTGGAAGCAACCGCACATCCCAGGGGGCTTGTTAAAATATGAACTTAAGGGGGTTGGAGAGATGGCTCAGCAGTTAAGTGTACTGGTTGTTCTTGCAGAAGACATGGGTTCCAATCCCAGAAAACACATGGTGACTAACACACATCCATAACCCTAGTTCCAGGGGATCTGATGTCCTCTTCTGTCCTCCAAGGGCATTGCACAACTCGGATACACTTACTCACATGCAGGCATAACACTCATACACATAAACTAAAAATAAATCAAAAGAAATTTGTAAGAATGGACTTAAGCTTTTAAAAGCCTTTTTAAAAATTATATACAGGACAACATGCAGGAATTGGTCCTTTCCCTCTGCCATGAGGGTTCTGGGGCTTGAACTCAGATCATCAGGCTTGGTGGCAAGCATCCCCAACTCTGAGACATCTTACCAGCCCTAACTTTAAAGCTCTGCAAAAGTGGAATCCAGAAGTCTGTGATTTCAATGGCAAATTAGGACTGGTCCATATATTGTGTTCTTGTTGTGTGATATATGTGTCATGTGTGTGCACATGGGTGTGCAACTGCACATGTTTGTAGAGGCCAGAAGTCAACATTGAGTGCCTTCCTCTACTGCTCTCCACCCTATTTTTTAATTAATTTTATTTTCTGTGTATGAATGTATTGCCTGCATGTATGTAAGTGCACTCGTGTCATGCAATGCCACGGAGGTCAGAAGAGGGCGTCAGAGCCCCTGGAACTGGAGTTACAGATGGTTGTTAGATGCCATGTGGTTCTGGGCATTGAACCTGGGTCCTCTGCAACAGCAGTCAGTGCTCTTACCTGCTGAGCCATCTCTCCAGCCCCTCCACCTTAATTTTTGAAACAAGGTCTTTTATTCCCTGGATTTTTATATAAATTATTTTATTTACCTCTCCTATTTTTTTAATATGTATGTTATGCCTGCATGTGTGTAAATGCACCTGTGTTGTACAATGCTAATGGAGGACAGAAGAGAGCATTGGGATCCCCTAGAGCTGGAGTTACAGACAGTTGTTAGCTGCCGTGTGGGTGCTGGGATTCGAACCCGGGTCTTCTGCAAGAAGAACCAGTGTTCTTAACGGCTGAGCCATCTCTCCAGCCCCATCCTCACATCTCTTATTTTTTGAGACATCGTGGAGACAGAGAGGCTCAGCTTTTGTTCTCAACAACCCCCTAATCTTTTAGGGCACTTGATTCAGACCAAACTAAGATTTGTGGCTTCAATGCAGAAAATAATTTCAGGACTAGCCACTGTGAAGCAGAGTTGAAGATTTTATTAAAGATATTTTAAAATAGGGGCTAGAGCCAGGCATGGTGTCACAAGCCTTTAATCCTAGCGTTCGGGAGGCAGAGGCAGGTAGATCTCTGTGAGTTCAAGGTCAGCTGGAGCTACAGGGAGACCCTGTCTCAAAAACTCAAAAAATAAAATAATAAAATAAAATAAAATAAAATAGGGGCTGGAGAGACGGTTCTGTGGTTAAGAGTACGGGCTGCTTTTGCAGAGGACCAGGGTTAGGTTCCCAGCACCCATATAGTGACCCTCTGTAACTCCAGCTCTGGAGGTTCTGACACCTTCTTCTGGCCTCCATGGGCATTGGATGCATGTGGTACACTTACATACATGCAGCAAAACACTCATACACATAAAACAATTTTTAGAATGCTATTTATTATTTTTATTTTATGTGTATGAGTGTATTGCCTGCATGTATGTGAGTTCACCCATGTTGTGCAATGCCTCAGAGGTCAGAAGAGGGCTTCAAGATTCCCTTGGAACTGGAGTTAAGGACGGTTCTTAGCTGCCATGTGGGTGCTGGGAATCGAACCCGGGTCCTCTGCAAGAGTAGTCCATGCTCTTAACTGTTGAGCCACCTCTCCGGCCCCCATAAAACAGTTTTTTTAAAAAGATATTTTAATACAGACTTTAATCACAAGGTTAGGTTAGGAGAAAGAGAGGCACTCAGAAAGTGAGATATACCCAAACATGAGCACAGGCTCCTTAAGGGAGAATCGCAATTAATTTTCCTAACATTAGCCATATATGCCATTTTGGTGTCTTTCATGCTGTATGTCAAAAGTTGCTAAGAAAACTCACCGCCCCCCCCCGCCCTGCTGCTAGGTAAGATTACAGGGTGGCTCTGAAGATGCCTTGGATAGATGTACCTGATAAAGTAAAACCAGGGGCCACTAGGATTGCAGACCTGGTTTAGGTCACACCCTTTCCCTGTAAATGAGGTGTCCTGTGAGATTCCTAGAAAATCACAGGGTTATAGCTGGGACAGGAGAAAGGCCTAAGTGTTTGTTAGTTGTGCTGGAATTCCTATTTATCTGCTGACAGAGGCTTCAGCCAGATTCCTGACTGAGGGGTCTTCTTTCCTTCTTACATTCTTCTAAGTTTCTCTGTCTTTCTATCCTGCCTCAGGTGAACTTGTAGCGCATCAATTCATCTAGGCTGGCTTGCCAGCAAGGTCCAGGGATCCTCCTTTCTCAACTTTCACAGTGTTGAAATTACAGGCACTTGCCATCATACCCAGCTTTTCCACATGGGTGCTGGGGATCTGAACTCAAGTCTTCATGCTATACAGCAAACAATTTACCAACTATCCCCTGGAACTGGAGTGATGAACAGTTGTTAGTTGCCATGTAGGTGCTGGGAACCAAACCTGGGTTCTCTGCAAGAGCTACAACTACTCTTAAGTGCTGAGCCATCTCTCTAGCTTCCTGATCTTGTTTCTTGTCACTGAATTTTTTGTTGTTGTTTATTTCTCTCTCTTCTGATCAGAAACAGGTTCTCTTAAGAATGACTCATAACCACAGACATTTTGGGTTGGTTTGGTTTTAAAGGAGGCAAAGGGGATGGGGTGGGGCAAGGGACTTTCTGTCTTGTTTTGTCCTTCCCTCCTCTCTCTTCCTGTGTGTATATGTGCTCATGCATATGCACTTCTGTGTGCAGGTATGCATTGCCTGTGTGTAGAAACCAGACACTGACATGGGGTGTATTCCTATATCATGTCTACCTATTATTTAGACAGTCTCTCATTGAACCTTGAGGTCATATCTTGGCTAGGCTGGCAGGTCAGAGAGTTCTAGGGATTCACTTATCTCTGCCTCTCCATTGCTAGTATTACAGATGGGCATCCTGCTTTTATGTAGGC